CTCCCCCCAATTAAAAGAATTTTTTGAAAAAAAGGTACATAACAAAGTCGAGCAGCCGGATATCTCCTATACACGCGGGCAATTTTTCGAAATAAAGAGGAGTTAGTTGCACGGCGCATCTTTAGAGCCTGTATGAACTCCAACAACCATTGATAAACCACGATGGTTTTTGCTGGAAAGCATTTATTTAACAGAAAATTTTAAACAATTTGAATCTATAAAAGAGTATGGCAAGGCACAGGCACATGAATTACACAAAGAAAAATTTTAAAGCTTATATAGTAAACATTAAAAGCAATATGTACCTATATGTATGTAGCTAAAGCGGATTATTAACATAGAGAAAGCTTTGAACTATCTTGTACTGCTGACAGTGAAAGAGTGAAAGTGTTTTCGAGTTGGAGCTGCTGAATCAAATGCTCGGGATCAGTTCAGTGGACATTCCTGCTTGTTGACGTTGCCGTAGATATCCAACATGGAAACGTCAAGTTGCTTCTTTCGTCTCATTTTATCCTTCTTGCCACCTCCCAGATTCATAATACGCATACATCCAACGTATGGCTCTGAAAAAGGATATTTTCAAAATTCGGAGGCCATAAAATATGTGAAAAAGATCTCACCACGAGTTTCCAAGCCCTTGCTGACGACAGACTCCGGTACACCACCAAGATAGATTGGATCTTTGGTGACAGTCTCGTGTTTTTTGCCTCTTTTCATGATGTTCAAGTTACTTTTACCGTCAACAGTAAGGGTCATTAGGTTCTTCTTTTTCATGATCTGGAAAGATATAATACAACCCAGAACTGTGCTACTTTCAAAAAACTTCTGTTCCTGACTATGAGCGACCGAAGAATACTTTGCAGAAAATTATGCGAAAACTTGAATTTTGCTTTTTACTAGCCAAAAGAACAAGCCTATTCCACTCAGTAAACCAGAAAACCAGTCTAGAGTGGCCGCAACACCTGACAGGTGAGCGCGCGGTCGCGAGCGCAGCGAACTACCTAGTCTACTTAGGCACGACTAAGGAGCACTCAACTATCGGAATAGTAGTATAGCTTTCACGCTGACCATTTATTAAGATGGAAAGGCTTTGTTGTGGGGCACTGTAAGAGAACGAGGATACCACGACTGTTGATTAACTGCCCACTCACCTTGATCGAGTGCCAGTGGCCATCACATATGGTGTTTGCTAAGGGTGGAGTATAAATCAGTGACTCATCTCCCGAACCACTGTTGACAGTGAACTGGATGGGAGAATATTTAGGTAAGTAAGAGCAGATTGCGATAAGAAAAAAGAAATCACCTTAACGTTTCCGTTTAGGATCTGCACAGTCAGGTATTCGATAACACCGACTGAGAACAATACACCATTCTGGGTACGTGGACGTACTTCCAGCTCAGCGGAGAATGACTTGCCGACCTGAAGAAAGATGAAGGAATAACAGCATGTTGAGGTAAAGTTTAAAGGATGAGGGCTGTTCCAGAATGATTGAACCGGATAAGTTCAAGACCCCTCCCCTCTTTGAATTCTTCCTTCTGCATTTCCAAGGTTGTTTGATTTGTCCATTTTACAAAATCGCCGTTATCTGAGCCCATTGAGACAGTATTTTATGAGGAGTAGAGAAGGGTGGAATACCCTAGAAGTGCGATTTTGGTGGCGTGACGTAGCCGTGACGCAACCGCACGCATAGTTGTTACTTTACAAATCGCTCCCTAGGGCACCTGGGATTTTCGAAGCCTCCTTTGTAACTTACTTTCATCTCTCGTACTCCTCTTTACCATATTGCTTTCGACCAACGTTTCAATGGTTTTTAGGAGGTTTTCGGAAGAATCACTCGAATGCCATTGAGCCTTACCTCGAATTCTTTTCTGAGGATCGCATAGCCACCTTCTTTGCCGAAGTACAGCCCGCTTTCCGTTTTAACACTGCATTCTCCGATTCCATGGTCACGAGCGATGGTGTCAAACTTTTTGTCATTCAGTTTGAATTCCCTAATGCATCCGCCGAATTCAGTTCTCACACCCTGAAATCATTCTAATTTAATCACCAGAAAGATTGTCATTAGCAACAAAAGTCAGGTACAGTGATGGGAGAGGGGCAGATACGTCTATTGCTCGAGGACAGTTTCGGGCGATTCATTACAATTATTAACTTACCGGTACAATCGTTCTGGCGTAACTGGCCAGTTCATTCGGTATGCCACCAAGGTAGAGTGGTGGCTGTGTGTCGATGGCATCCGTGCCAGCCGAAACCACAGCTTCAGTGGATTCTTCGTCAACGACCAGGAGACCTTCGCTTCCACGTCGTGATGCCTTCACTGAGTGCCATTCGCCATTCAGGATGGAACGATTCGAGCGGATAATGGTCTGGAAAAATGGGTTTATTGGGAAAATTAAGTGATTGGCTTCATGCCAGTCCAGGCCATACTTGTCCGGATCCGGTGTCGAACGACAGAACGAGACGTCCATTAAGCAGGAACAGTCCAATGTGATCAGTATGTTTGTCGTTTGCAGCAAACATGATCACTCCATTCAAAGCGGAGGGACGAATTTGTAGCGAGAATGTACCGCTGGAAGTGGCCAGCTTGAGTAATCGCCAAAATCAAAGGTTACCCTACAACTAACCTCTTATCAAACGAGTCCGGCATAACCTCATACTCCAGACGACTGTTGGGCTGTAGACCGAAACGCGTTCCGTCCACTTCGTCCTTCGGCGGCCGAGGATCCAATCCCAAAGCGCAGGCGCCGTCAGCAACAGTCTGAAAAGAGGATCATCTGCGCTGCAGTAAAAAACCTTCGCAGGGAAAAAGTTAATGGCAGGGAGAAAGTAAGTAGAAGCGTATTATAAAGCGCAGAAGTGTTAGCTTGACTGTTCAGGGAATTCAGCGTTGGGCGAAGCGTTATTCAGGATAGATCTAGGGAGAGGTGAGGCAGCCACACTCACTGCTACCACAGTCGGTTTCGTAATCTTCTCCGCCGACACTTCTTCTGACACTTCCACCATTTCTCCCGCAGGTGTCGTTGCTATTTCCTCAAGTGGGATAATCACTAGATCTGGTGGCTCAGTAGTAGGGGGTTTTAACAATACCGGTAACAGCATAGCTAGTTCTGTTACCGTAGTGGGAGGTACTGTAGTGGTTGTAGTGGTGCTTGTGGTGGTAGTGGTGGTGGTGGTAGAGGAAGTAGTAGTGGAGGGAGTAGTCGTTGTAGTGGTGGTAGTGGTGGGAGTGGTGGTAGTGGTAGTGGAGGTTGTCGTGGTGGTTGTTGGCGGTGTAGTAGTAGTCGTAGTACTGGTAGTACTAGTAGTAGTACTAGTAGAAGTACTGGTGGTAGATGTTGTGCTGGAGGTTGATGTAGAACTCGTAGAGGGTACAGTAGGCTAGAAATTCTCCTTATATATTCTGTTGGCGAGTCAATGTAGATATGTAATAAAAACGTAAAGAAAAAAGTGGCACCTCCGCTTCGGTAGGAGCGGCAGTGGTCATCACTTCGGTCGTTATGAGCAGATTCGCAGGTGCCTGAAAGCACTTTTTCTACGTTGCACCAACGAACAGCTCATTACATCTTTTGTTTTTGATTATTTCTGTTGTACTATATGTAGAAATTTATATAACCAATGAAGAAGGCAAGGATTGTTTGAGTTTCTTACAGTTCTAAGTGATTCCTAGTTAGTTGTCTCGCAGACGCCATATCTTGGCTTTCCTAATAAGTTGTCTGGCAGTATGGTGTGCTACTTGGAACTCCCAACGCCACCCCACTTATCCCCTGCCTTCAGGGCAGGAATCTTTCTTGAACAGTCTAAATTTCACCTCAAGGGTTGTCGGCACTGATTCAGAAGTTGTTGACACCGTGGTCTTGACGACGTCGGCGGCCAAGGAGCAGCCAGTCAGGGATACTTCGTGGATTTTGGCCTTAAAAGGGCTCGATATATAAGAACAAGTTAACAAAAGATAAACAATCAACTTCAATAGAAAATTACTGGGGAACAAATGAATAGTATTACCCACCTTAGCAAAGTCAAGTAGTTCTCCGTTGTACGACACATCGCCAACGCATCCAACGAATGAGGCCGTATCGTGGCGTCCGAATAGGATTCTGGCCATTTCGCCCGGCGCCTAAGGTTTAAGGGAGTGTAGCAATCAATAAAATCAATATCACAGTTGATTATAACTTAGTACAGGGCACACTTTCGCTTTACATATGGTACCGTGGTCTCCGCACTTTCATCTTGGTTGTAGCTGAAATTGGTCAGTGATAGGCTGAAAGACCCGATTTCGATGGATCTGGACCTTGAGTACCGAGTAGGTTAAGTGAGGCAATCCACTCGTTATCATTTGATTACTGTTGTACAAACACGTGTTACGGTGGTAGTGACACACGGGTAAACTTACCACTTTACGTCGTTTTCGCTGTAATTGAACGAACCAATCGATAATGTGCTCACAAAATATCAATCAATAAAAATTGGTGATTGTGCCATGCGTTCCACCCCTTCTAACCACTATAATGAATGGTGATGGCTAAAGGTAAGTGTGTTCGGTGCTTCTACACGGTTCTATTGAAGTGAATGACTACGTTAGTTCGAATCAGGGATCGAACTGGTGACCGTGAACGTGTGCAGGAGCTATTGCTAACCGATGTGCTACGCATGCCGTATTAATGGAAATTAAGGAACTTACCACATCATCACCGTTGGCACGTCGTTCTTCCTTTGAATGCAGATCGTCCACGTCTACTCGAAGTATCTCCTTGGTCTTACGTACAGACACATAGTGCCATTGTTCATCAGCCGCTGATGCCAGTTCCAGGGAAACCTGAGAAGGACTGCTTCAGTTCCTTACTGAGAATTGTACTAACAGTAGGAACTGCCCTATCATAGAATAGGGGTTTGGCTACGAAGAAAGGGTCCAAGTAGAAAGGTAGGTTCTCTGGGAGGAGCGACAAAAGAAAAAGCCATGAAATTACCCTCCCCCAACAAACGACTCAATAAATTCAGGCTCCAGGCCCGTTTCAGTTCCTTTTAGAGTATCTTATGCCCTGGCGAATAAAGCAATGCAGGCAATACGCAGATTTGGGTAACTCCGTCCTGGAGTGCACCACGCTTCCTATTTCGAGAAAAAGGGGCTCAGAGCAGCAATTTCAGAGCCACCCAAAGCGGAAGTCGCAACGGACGAATGATTTCCTTCGGTTATTACTTGAATTCCGTCTAATCTATCCGACCTAGGAGCTCACCTTATCGTCCCCAGCTGTTGCCACGAGAACTCCGTCTTCAATCTTCAGCGACAGTAGGTCGTCCTCATCTGACTGAATTGTCAGCAGAGTACCAGTTGAACGACGAGTTTTGAAGCGTAGCGATACATCCATCTCATTAGAAGCTGTGATATTCTCGAACACAGCCGTCGATCGATCTGATAAGATCGATACCTGGAACAATCAGTTTTTTGAGAAAAAACAAGTTGGAGATCGTGTGAGAGTACTAGAGGCAGACAGATGTCTCCACCCCCATCACAGTTTGACCACCAAACTTCAGTGAGAGTACCCTTCTGGGTAACTGTGGAACTGCTGCAGTAACATTTAATGCCAACAATCAACGAACCGTATTCACAGTGCCAAGTGGGCATGCGTTCCTCACTCCTTTACTGGCGTAGCTTGCATATAGATCCATTTCATCCGATCCTAGACGAACAGATTTGATGCAGCCACGGAACGGTTCGATGGGTGAGCGTCTGAATACACCCAGAATAACTTGATGGTATTTGAGTAGAAATAGGAGTAGATATGAAGTTAAGACCTTAGGTACGATTACCTCATCATTTAAAACCCTAAGAGAAAAGAACGGCGGAAGATGTGAGTAGATAAGAGCTTACGTATTGACACCAGTTGGTGTTCCTCCCAGGTAGAGGTAGTCAGTAACGCTTAGCGTGGACATGTCGCCAGGAGCGTCGCCTTCAGCTACCTGCAATCGACGGTTTAAGGCCGAAGAAATACTATATAATCATTTTTCAGATGAGCAGTTGCGAATCAAACCACCCAGAACAGCTCTGGCTCAAACCGAGAATGGCCAAATCAATAATGAATCGATATCGTGCCTAGTCTCAGCGGTCTTACCTCATAGTTATATCTATGAATACAACTCATTGGCCCAGAGATTGTTACCTATGCTTTCTGGCATCCAGTATGGGTAGATAACTGCCCCTTCGGGTGCATTTTGTCTAAGAAGTGTCTGAAAAAACATCCACTACAGTAACCTCACCGTGACTCCATCGACTTCCATCTTCACATGCCGCTCATCTCTAGCCACCGCTACTGTATGCCATTGGCCATCGTTGTAGGTGATGGCATCAGCGAGCCATTGTGCTGCACCGGACCCGAAGTCCAAAGACAGTTTTACACTTCCAGCCGACAGCTCCAACGCAAAGAAGTCACGCTAAAATGGGATCGAATCAGATCTACGTAAATCGATATTTAGCGAATGATCACTACTCACGTCTTTTCCTATGAAGAACAGTAAGCCATCTGGTGAGAAGGTGAGGAAGGACAGAGAGAAGATTGCTCGTTTTCGAGGATTCCAGTAACCCATTTGGTAAACAATGTAGCCATCACCATTCAGAGAGACTCCTGAGACAAATCGATCAATAATTGATGGAATAGCTATGAACAATTAGGAATTACCTTGCTGAGCAGATGACTCCTTGGTACGTGGGCGAGGCTCGGCACCTCGAACTGCCACTGCGCCTCCGGTCTTGGCATTCCACAACCCGACTGGTTCACCGTGTAGAGTCAGATCCTCAATATCACCTTCGAATGCTCGGTTGCGTACATCTTTAGCAATCTGAAATCGACTTCCTAGACTTTTAATCACTGCTGTGTGACGACAAGAAATCGCTCACCCTACTGCCAGCTGGTATCCCTCCGACGAACAGACGACTCATCGTCTGATGCAAGTTAAGAATGCTCTTGTTTCCTTCAGCCGTACCCTTCTTTACCTCTTCCACCTGGAAGTTTTCCATTCTCAGTACTCTGGATGGGGATACGATTCTATGAAAGATCCAAAAAAAGAACTAGAGGTCTAGCTCCTGACGAGTAGTGGGGAGCGGGCTAAGGCTGATTGGACAAAGGATCAAGAATGCTCTGTAAGCCTCAGTTGCCTCGTCCACGCCGGAAGCATGACGTTTAAGCTTTACCTCTTCGCTGTTCGGCTTATATAGTTTGACTGTTGCCGATCTTCCAATTCGTTCAACGCTCAGCTGACGCCATTGGTTGTCCGCAACTCGCCTAAAAGCATCAGTAGATTTCTGTAGACCTTATGACCCATTTTTGTAAACTCTTTGAGTCTTCTCCATAAATCAAAAACGTATTGAAAAAATCATCAGTAACAGGACTCTCGCTTGTTTATTTTTGTTCGTATCAAAGGTTCAGCTCGCAATATCCAAATCAGCTCATCTTTAATTAATTTATTTTGGAGAGTGATGTCCTACTAGCAAATTCTTGAGCGCGAATTTTCACCTATCGTTAAAATGACCAAAAATGCCTTGTTCCTTGCTCAGCTTAATAGGATTTCAAGTTTTCGGGTCCATTATCTTTACCTGACTGTAAAAATAAGTGTAACCATTATTACTTACGTGTTCAATTTGATGACCAGAGGCTTTTCTCCTAGATTGATGGTAACCTTTGGCTGCCCATATTCGATTTCAACAGCAATAAAGTCATCGGTGGGCACAGCTCGGGTACCAGCGGATCCTTCCTCGTTACCGAAGAACAGCGGAATACCTGCAGGAACAGGAACAACTTCGTATAGACCAATTCAATAGATGGCGAAGTGACGGGTTAAGTGGCCAAAAGGAATTCAAGCCACGCCCATTTCGAAATTGGCGCCGCTTTCGATATTAGTCGTGGAATTCAGGTGTTCTCATTAACCTACCGTGTTCTTTTGCAGTACGGAAATGGAAAGCGATATCTGTATGGGCGGCGGATCGGGCGACACGATGTGGCATTGCAAGATCCAGTGAGCTACCCTGCTCGAAGTGAGCACCGAGTTTGATCTGAACTCGTCGAATTGAATACTTGTGCAAGAATTCGAAGGAATAGGGAAACATACCCTATTGGCAGCATCTCTGGCCACAGCGATTTGTTCCTTGAGGGCAGCGATTTTATCCACACAGGCTTCCACTTTGGCTGTACGATTCGTAGCGCTATTGTGCATGTTATCGTACGATTCCATCAGTTTTGGGACCAGGACAGAAAGCTGAAATAGCAGAGCCTCTACTTGATTTCACTCGAGAGCGAATATTGAACAGTCGCATAAAACGCCCTTATTACATTCAATGTGCAGTAATAAAGCTCATCATCGGATCCACGTGTACAAGCTAGGAATCCCCAATAAATCTCTTGACTGACACCAGCTCATTCAGTAAGGACAGTGCTCCATTTTTAGATCAGAAAATGATGGGCTTACCTCTTTGACGTTACTCTTCGTCTTCTTAATTCCTTGCAAAGCGTCGGTCGCATCGGAGACGGCTTTATCCGTAGCCTCCTGTAGTTCCGCTAGCTCATCCCGAGCCGAAGCCAGTACCTAAAGTGACCCAGTGAAATTCGCTAGAAATGAGAGTATCACCTTAAACAACCCACCTTGTCGGTGTCGGCAAGAAGACTATTCACGTGATCCGCTGATTTCTCCACATCAGCGAATGTGGTCTCGTTTAGTGGCGATACCAGTGAAGAACGAATACCTTCGGCATTACGACGCATTCCGTCGACCATCGTGGTCAGCTAAAATGGCTCTTTCCCTACCAATATGGTCTCACTCAGAAACTACCGGAACCTTTCCCAAGTCGCAGAGCAATAACTCACCCGATCGATTCTGCTTTCGGTTTCAGCGGCTTCCTTCTTCAGGGCGTTCAGCGTGTTCTGCTGTAGATTGGAGGCTTGTCGAACTAGGTTAGCAGAACTGTTCATTGCCTGCTTCACCTGGTCCTTCTGAAAATCCATTTTTGTAGAGACACAATATCCCTCAGACGCGGTCGGCCATACAGAAAAGTGTCAGGAAAAAGCCACAAACCTTCTCTTGTAAGCCCTTGCTCAAATCATCCATCTCATTAATTGTCCACTGCGCCTTTTCCTGAGCATTCGTCAGAGCATCGGTGAGGTTGCTGTAGGCAGTGGCAGCTTCAACAGCATTCTGAAATGGATTTGATCATATTTTCTGGAAAAAGCCTCATCGTATGGAGGTATTTTCTCTTTCGGACGGGAAGAAACCGAGCAGCTGACCAGTTGGTGAGAAGGACTTTCATGTCTGAGCCATTCATTTCCGGGAAGAGAACTTTCAATTGAGCTATAAACAAACCTGTGACTCCAATTTGGCTGAACCAAAATTGTGTTGCAATTTCGCAGCCTCGATTTCCAGCTCCACGATCTTGGCAGCCACCTCAGCCGAATCATAGGGGGCTTGACGTTTCTCACGTTTTGGTTCAACAGTTTCAGCGAGTTCTGCCCGGACTTCGGCCAAATTCGTCAGCGAGTTACCCACAGACTCCAGTGCATCTTTTGCTTGTTCGGTAAGATTTTTGACCTGAAATTTGAAAGTTTTCCAAGAAATGGAGATTTCATAGCTGTTACTAACCTCTAGTAGCACACCGCTAACGGCGCTCTGTTCCTCAATAGCTTTATCGCGACTGTCGGCCAGTGCTTTTGCGAGACCTTCCAGTTTTAACGTCGATACACCACTGGCAGCCTCAAAAAGTGAACGTAATAAGAATTATGGCTGGTTTCTAGGCTGCGAAGCTGTCGCGCAGCGGTCAAGAGATCGAATCGATTTTAAATATTGTTTATTAGTATGACTTTTTCTCTCTTCATACCAAGACAAGGAGGATGGCTAGCTCTGGAATAAGAAATAGCGACGGTAGATGAGCGTGTATCATGATCTAGCTTAGATGCCTCTGATGCCTAGAAGTGTTGACCCCCTTTTGCATTACCATCCGGGGGAGGAGCTTCCTTCGCCTCGGTCAAGGTAAATTCCGGACGCAAAGTACATTGAAAAAATACAAAAAATTAGTATGATATGACCAACCTTGCGAGCTTCTTCCGCATTCTTTCTCGACTGTTTTAGCAACTTTTGTGCATCGCTCAAGTAATCGGCAACCTTTGTGCCCTGAAAAAGTACTGGGTTTACAATACCATAAAAGAACGTTTAGTGTACTTATGGTAAGAATATAAAGTAAAAGATGAATAGTAAGTAAAAAATACGTTTTTGTAGGCATTTTCAAGCTTCTCCTTCAATCCGTCCAATTTTTCTTTGCGTTGGTTCAGCTCTTCCTGTACTTCCGCGATCTTCTTTGGTACTCTCGTAGCTTCTTCNATCGGCAACCTTTGTGCCCTGAAAAAGTACTGGGTTTACAATATCATAAAAGAACGTTTAGTGTACTTATGGTAAGAATATAAAGTAAAAAATGAATAGTAAGTAAAAAGTACGTTTTTGTAGGCATTTTCAAGCTTCTCCTTCAATCCGTCCAACTTTTCTTTGCGTTGGTTCAGCTCTTCCTGTACTTCCGCGATCTTCTTTGGTACTCTCGTAGCTTCTTCAGGCTTGCCGTCACTAAACTCTCAGAGAATTATTAATCCTGAAAGTGGCGCCCGTAGTAGGAATCCCTCCACTAACGCTGTCGCCGCTTCCAGTTGATGCAACGTCTCTTCGGCATATTCCACCCATTTGGGGTCGATGATCAGCGCTGACGAATGGCTTCCCAGAGAAGCGACTAGATTCTTAGTGTGGTCTACAGCGGCCGAGGCATCCTAAATCACCTTTTATGATCTCAAATTTCGAAATTGGATGAAAAATGGTGTGATTGAAGGTACCGCTGCTCGGCGACGAATATCTTGCAGTACTTCCCCGGCCGTATCTGTCATATTCATGGCCCTTTCGAAGTCGTTATCGGCGACTGAATGGGATCTGAATAAAAAATTAGTGTTTTTGACCCTCACTCATGCAAAACTTAGGCATCGGCTACCCAATATCAACTAACCTTTCGGCGGAATTCATTAGCTGTGACATGTTGGCAAGGGCTCCTCGGGAATCACCTACGAAACTGGTGTACTGCTCACCGGAAAGTAGATTTGCAACCTCCTGCAAAGGAAAAAGTTGTATAAACATTGAAATGAGTTATATTTACTTTAAAGTTCAGGATGTAGGTTGGGCATGTCTTCCCAGAATGCAACCAGTGGTAGCGGATGCCCAATGGACTCCTGCCCGGTGGGTCTCGTACAAGCCTACTGGATGATGTCAGAAGTAACAATATCGAGTTTAAGGCTATTAAAAATGCACCATAGAAGCTTACCAAGCTAAGGACTTACAATTAGTTGAGTTTCTCAAAGGGATGGCGTGGGAGCTCAGATGAATAAGTTTGCGCTAGATCCCCTGGTACTGACTCCTTGACTTACGGGAACGAACTCTTTGTGCAGTATTCAGTAGCGATTTCCGACATTCAAACGACGACGTTCCTATGGAACGGTCCACGATACATTAGCGGGCTTTGAGGAGGGCGGAGGTGATGAGTAGGCGTGGCGGGCATATTATACATCCTAACTGAACGTGAATCGAACGTGAAATACTGGCCTTTCTCATCCTACAGGCAGCCTTTTACTGCTAAGCAGTAACTAGTTATATCATTGATCAGAGAGTGCTTCGAAGGTTTAAGCCGCTTCTTCGCCGAGCACATACTCACCGTGTATTTTGCAACGTTCTTCGAGTTCCGGCTAAGTCTGGCTCCAACTACCGTAGCCGATGAGATATTACCAATCGACACATTCAAATGATTGATATGAAGACCGAGATTATCCACATCGGACACCAGATGATGAACACATTCATCGCAACCTTAAGGAGAATGTATGACTTCATGTATATAACCTATTGCGAGCCGCCATTAGGGCAGAGTAAAGCTGATTCTCACGTCGGCATCCGAAAGTTGGAATTCTCAGATATGACTGAAGACATTGGTCGCAACGAGCTCCGGTGGCTCCTTCCTGACAGTGGCACTGCCCAGTTCGTACATCACATACCGTACCCATCGAAAGATCTGCCTCACAGTCGCATTCTGTAAAGTTCATTCAATTGTAATCACATCTTTCATTGTGGAAAAGGGGTGAAACTCACTTTGGCAGCCGTATTCGCCATAGTTCCAGAATCCATGTTCACAGTGCTCACAACGCAATCCAACAGCTCCTGGTCGACATTGGCATTGACCGGTTTCGTCATCGCATTGACTGGAGGATGAGGCGACACCGCAATGGCATGGATGACATCCACCACAGCGTGAGAAACCCCAGTGGTCGGGCTGAAGATTAGTGTTTGGAACGGTCCGTCAAATTTTTTACTTCAGACCAGTCCTTACTTATTTATTTTTATTATTCCCTATTTCATTATAACGGTTTTCTATGACAAGACCATACATTAGGACTTCAGAGATGATCAGACTCACAATGCATCTGTCACAGTTTAATCCTTCCACATTTGGCTTGCACTGGCATTCTCCAACTTGATTGTCACACATTGCCGAACCGCACTGATCGCATGTACATGCAGTACAGTTCTTTGCAGCCACAGCGTCACCGTAGTACCTTAATAATAGCTATTAATAAGAGCTAGATTGTTCCGATCTAGCTGAGTAAAACAGCTGAATACTTATTGTGACTATGAATTTCCTCGTGAAACTCTCGTTTGTATTGGCAAAGATTGCCCTCAAGCTCCCCTTTTCTTATGGTGAAATATTTTCGTGAAAAACGTGAGTGTAGCGGGTAACATCTACCAAGAAATTTCGATAAATTGGTACGTGAAGACCACACCTCTCCAAATGGGCACGTTGAATAAGCCCCAGACATTAAACGTTCAATCTGATTTGTGTTTTCCCTTTTCACTCGTGTCTTACTGGTTAGCCATGAAGGTCGTTCAAAGGCCTAAGTGCATGCCATGCAGTACCTCAGAGAGAGTACTGCAGAGGAACATGCAGATTTCCTGACGATATCTTCTGGTCAAAGTCCGAGGGTAAAGTTACCCAACCAATCATGCTCGTCGTGATAGAAATTGTAGTGGCTCTTAAAATCACTCACCACTGAGCGCAATACTCGCATTTTCGACCATCGGTATTTCTCTCGCAGAGATAGCAGTCACCAGTGACTGGATGACAAGCTCTCGAATCTGTCAGATTGTTATTGCCATTACAGTCGCATGGTTGGCATGAGCCTCCAGGGCGTTGAGGTTCGCCAAAGTATCCGGCGTCACATCTACAATTCCATTACGGTTACTTCGAATAGCATATTTGATAATGGATTTCGACTTTTCTGAGACATCCATAAATCATTATCAAGCACGATAACAAAAGGCTGTACTGAAGTAAGATTGCTTGCTTATCTACCTGTCACAACGGTCTCCAGCATAGCCGGGTTTACAGTCGCACGAGAGAAGCTGGCCGTATTCCGACACCTAGAATAGAGGTTCTCAAAACTTCAATAAAAGAAAACGATAGGAGGAAAGGGCGTTATGGGCTCAATCAATAAATCGATAGTGGCTATAATAGTTGTTCGAAGCCTGAGGTATTGACCATACCAGAGCATAGACCCCACTTTGAATATATTAAACATAAAGGAATGCCTACAGCTTTTCCTCAGAACCATTCTCATTGATTGAGTATCGATTCCTACCTGACAACCCGTAGCGAAGTTATTCGTAGGCGAAAATGGACATTGGCATGGCATGCAAGAGTAAGGGCTGCCATCGGTGGCATCTCCATAGTGTCCTTCTTCGCAAAGCTCACAGTGATCCCCATGGGTACTGTGTTGACAGTCGAAGCACACGCCTAGAAGATCGATTTACTGAATGATTCCCCCTAATTATTCAGCATCGTTTGGATTTTACCTGTATCTGGATCACAAGATCCTGAATGCCCATTGCATTCACATGGAACGCAAGCGCCTAGGAACGATCCACTCTGTACACGGTAGTAGCCCGGAGCGCAATGCTGACAACTAGCTCCGGTGTACGGAGCTGGGCAAACGCACTGTTCGACCGATGAAGCCTTGATGGCCGACAGAGGGAAGTGCTAAACAAGTAATTTGGGCTATTCCTATGTGGGTACCTTACTAGGGGTTATTTTACCTCTCCAGAGACTTCCAGTCCAAAGTCAATAAGTTGAGCTTCACTTGGGTTACTGTAGTAGGATGCTTTGAGCGTAATGTTCTGTAGTGAGTGCAGAATCATCATGAGATCGTTACGGGTTATCGGTTGCCCACTGGCTGACAAGAAATTCTCCTGGAAATAGTTCAGTTGGTTCCTGAAGGCTATGAAGGAAATCCATCAGCGGCTGCTTACCGGAACAAGTTTCACCCGGACATTGAAAGCCTCTCTTGGATCAGCCGGCTGTTCGGGTGCCCAAAATTCGGCAGTCATATTGTTACCATAAAGGCGAACATCAGCATCAGTACTCATCCGTGGGTGTTCATCTCGTGGTTGAACAGATAGTTGGAAATACAACTGAAAGCAAATGTTAGATATGGAGGCCTAGTCATCACTAGATTATCGGGCTTTGGACATTTTTTTAATAAAAAAATAATGAAGAGGACCGAAGGTT